TTGGTAATAACTTCACTAAATGGATTCAAATTTTATATTCTCACATATCATCTTCAGTCATAGTAAATCAGCATATTTCACCACCATTCCCCGTAACTCGCTCAGTCCGTCAGGGCTGCAGCCTTTCACCTTTACTTTATATTTTGGTTTTAGAGCCTTTTATTATTAAAATACGTAAGGACCCACAAGTAGTTGGGGTCGGTATACCCGGGTCTACAGTTGTTGCTAAATCTTCTGTTTATGCAGATGACACTACACTGATCTGCACTACAGACTCATCCATCAAGAGAGTCTTGGATGTCTGTCATCTTTATGGCAGGGCATCGGGTGCGAAATTGAATATGTCAAAAACCAAAGGTATGTTTTTTGGCAAATGAGCCACCATGGCACTTTTGGGATCAGCTGGATCGATGGTGCCAAACTGATGTTGGTCTGTCCTTGTCAAACTGGGACCTTTTTAAATTTTATATTTCTATATTTTGTAAGGAATTCCAATTAAGGGAAAGAAGTAAGAAACAAAAGGAATTATCTATCTTAAAATCGCACTATAAGGCCTTGGCTGAGCGTGAGCTTGCTGCTCCCGGTAGTTGTTCATCTCGTCTGTCTGAACTTCGAAACCACCTTCGGAGTGTGGAGGACGAGAGGATTAACGGTGCTCGTATTCGATCAAGGTCCGATGACATTGAAAACAGAGAAAACCCATCCCGTTTTTTCCTTAGAAAAGAGCATGTTCGTGCTGCCAAAAAGACAATAACTTTCATTCAGGATGGTGATCGGCAGTGTACTACCAACAGCACGATCATGCAGGCTTTTACATCCTTTTATTCGTCACTTTTTAAGAAGGAAGATGCAGATTTTCTCCTTGATGATTTTTTATCAGATCTGCCCTCTTTGAGTACCCCCATAAGAGATTCTCTTGAGGGAGATATATCCAAAGAGGAGATCCATTCTGCTCTAAAGAACATGAAAAGTGAGAAGTCTCCTGGTCCAGATGGACTGACTAAGGAATTTTACCTTGCCAATTTTGACATTCTCGGTGATGTACTTTTCCGTCTGTATCAACTTATATTTTCTTCGGAATCGTTATCATCTTCCCAAAGTTTGTCTTTTATTACTCTTCTTTGTAAAAACCCTTCTCAACCCGAGAGTGTCAAGAATTGGCGACCTATCTCTCACCTGAACATGGATTATAAGATTATCTCGAAGGTCTTGTCTACTCGTTTGGGTTCAAATTTTTTCAGGTTCCTATAATACCAGATAACATATTTATATTCGGAAAAAATTAGAAGTATAATAGATTTAGCTGTTGAAGGAAGTTTAGGTAAGTTCATAAAACGGATTGTGTCAAAACTTAAAGATGGAACAGCATTATCAGATACAGTTTTTATCCAGCCAGAAATTAAGGTAAGTATAGGAATAAGTAAGGAACAGTCATAAAATAAATGTTGAATGTTTTCTATTGCAGTGCCACATAAAATACAGGTTTTATATTTAGAAAGATATCTGTCATATAAACGGTTTGCCAGTGGGAGAGCATTAAGAATTAGTCTATAGGATACCGTTTTAGTGACAGGATCAATACCTTTATGGTGAACATTGTTAAAAGAATCAGTGAAGTTAATGGTGAGAAAATCAGTAACAACAGATGGAACGGTAAGTATATCCAGTAGAAAGGTTTGATAAATGTTTTTCACAGTGAGTTTTTTAAAATCAATATTAATTCCATTCCTTTTGGCAATATCTAAAAACTCCAGAAAATCAGAATAACATGACTTATAAAAAGGAGGTAAATGAAACCCATGAATTTGTAAATTGGATTTAAAGGAAGGATTAAATTCTCTTAGCTGCAGACCAAGCCAGAACCACAAGACCCATTTAGCATTACGGTTTGAAATACCATTAATGATATGCATAACACGTAAGGATTTTAGTTTAGATGAAATGTGTATGATACCAGTCCCACCCTGTGATACACTGGAGTACATAATATTTCTAATTACAGGTTCATTTTTGGAAGGCCATATAAAGTTAAAACAGAGACGCTGCACTTTAATAATACAATAACGAGGAGGAACTAAAACAGAGCCAACGTACCAGAGTTTAGATAAAGCTATAACATTACAGACGATAGATCTACCAAACACAGATAAGGGCCTATTACTAAATAAATTTAAGGAAGTAGCAATTTTTGTATATAAAGATCTCCAATAAACCTCACTTTTTCCAAAAGGGATCCCCAGCAACTTACTGCCATCTATCCAGCTTATGCCGAAAGGATGGTCTGATCGACTGGCCCATCTACCAAAAAATAAACCTTTGGACTTAGA